TGTCTCTTTCTTCAGGGAGATAAAGATGCCGCCAGATTTGCTAATGCATCAGCTTTGTCATTTTCTGACCTTGGGATGTGGGCAATTTGAATGTCTTGAAATTGGGTCATTAAATATTTAGCTCTATCATTGTATACAACCAAGTTTTCATTTTTGACTGCATATTGGCCATTCAATTGTTTGACAATTAGTTGTGAATCTCCAAATGCATGCAGATAGTTGATGTTTATTTCAAGTGAATTTCGAGGCCAATGATGAGCGCCTCAAATTCTACTATATTATTTTAGCAGAGTGTCATTAGAGAAAAAGAGTAGGGGATCAAGCCCCTTGATGGTGTGATGAACACCACGCCTACCCCCGCTCTCTTCTTTCTAGCTGCTCCATCAAAATAAAGTCGCCATGGTGAGATTTCTGTAGAAAATACCTCTTCATCTGGTAAATCATTTGGCAACTCCATATTGTCTGGCACGGGGTGTGCAGCTAGGAAATTAGCTGGTGGCTGTCCCTAGACCGCCTTTTGGGATACATATTTAATTTTGAACTCTAATAACAAAAGAGACCATTTTGCTAAATGCCCAGAAGGCACTGGCTTTGCCATGAGATATCTGAGAGGATTTGCTTTGGAGATTAAAGTAATGCCATGCGATAATATATAATGTCGTAATTTCTGCACAGCAAAAATCAAAGCCAAACAAACCTTTTCAATGGGGGTGTAGTTTTGTTTTGCCCCCCACTGTTGTTCGACTTAAATAGTAAAGTGCATTCTCCTTTCTGTCTTCATTTTTTTGAGCAAGTGCGGCGATGTATAATATTAAGGGTCTTCCCTTAATTTTTGCCATTAATACTGGGGTTTTAAAAGATATGCTTTGATGCTGTTAAAAACATTCTGGCATGCTTGATCCCATATGAATGGTATGTCCTTTTTCATCAGCCTTGTGAATGGCTGGCACCTCCCAAAAAAATTTGAAATGAACCTCCGTATGTAAGCTAGTCTTCCTTGCAAACCTCTTAACTGTCTCAAGGTTCGAGGAGGAGGCATTTCTAGGATTGCCTTGATTTTGGAAGGGTCAATTTCGATCCCACGGTGTCTCACTACAAAACCAAGGAATTTTCCTGATGTCACTCCAAATGCGCATTTCAAAGGGTTCATTTTTAACTGATGTTTTCACAGCCTATCAAAAACTCATTTTAGGTCATTTAAATGATGCTCTCTTTTTCTGGTTTTTACAACCAGATCATCCACATAACATTCGATGGTGTTATGTAGCATGTCGCTAAAAATGATTATCATGGCTCTTTGGTATGTCGCACCAGTATTTTTCAAACTGAACGACATCACAATATAATAGTAAAAAACTTTTGGGGTTCGAAACGCAGTAAGCTCTTCATCTTCAGGTGCCATTTTGATCTGGTTATATCCTGAAAACCCATCCATGAAGGATAAAGCCTCAAATCCAGTAGTTGCATCCACCAATAATTCAGTGATCCTGAAATCTATGTAGATACTCATATGACCATTTTTCTTTTTTACAGGAACAATGCTTGTGAGCCAAGTAGGATACTGGACTTCTCGAATGAACCTAGCATTTATTAACTTGTCAATTTCAATATTTATTTGTACCTGTAGCCCTGGTCGAAATCATCGTGGAGCTTGCTTCACACAACGACATTGACTTGATACTGCTAGTCTATGTACAACTACATTAGGATCTAGGCCAAGCATGTCTTGATAGCCCCATGCAAACATATCTCGGTACTCTTGAATAAGACACTTATAATTTTCCAATACGTTTGGAGTTAGTAAGGCACTCACAAAAATGGGTTTAGGCTTTTCATTTGTACTAAGATTAATTTCTTGTAGCTCATCCACAGTAGCTTGACTTCCATCTTCAATTTGGGGTGGTGCTAGCTGAACATTATCAATTCCTTATCGAGAGTTTGGATTTCATGCTCTTCGTATTCTGTTGGGTTATCATATACAATTGAGACACAGTTTACTTGAGCAGCCTCAAAATTTCTGGATTGCTATGAACTTGTCATCACGTTTTTCTTGACTCTCCATTTCTTATTGTTTTGAAGTTTTTGTGAGGTAGCAACGCCTCCAAGTCTTTCGAAAACTGAGATGCGAGTTGGACAATTATTTACTTTGTTCCCAAGCCATTCAAAAACTAAGATACGGGGTGGTTTATTGCTTGGCTCAGTTTTAGCAAACAAATATTTTTCAAAGTCAGTCAAAACTACTGGCTCGTCTCTTCCTGTTTCTGGACCTTTTACCTTGAGCATGCCATTTTTTTGTTTTACTGAGACATCAATGCAGTTCTTTCTGACTTTGCCCTTTTTGGATTTTATCTTCAATGGATTTGAAGATGATGTTCTTATAGACTTATTTCCTTCAAACAAAACAACACGGTTACGTCAGCTATTGTTCTTCTTCAAAATAGTTGGATTTCCATTAAGGACAATGTGGTTATGCCGACTGTTGTTCTTCTTTAAAACAGTTGAAACTATCATACTGCCCCCTGAGATTGAACAGTTAATCCTACGTAGTGGCTCAATTGTATTTTGAACTGACATCAGTGGGTTTTGACCTGTCTTTTTTGGTCATTTGGTGAATATTTGAAAGCTATATTTGAAGCCTTTTTTTTATTTTGGAAAACAACATAAGGCACCGTGATCTTTATTTTGATAGGTTTTGTTGATCCTGATGCTCCTCCTGTTTTTATGCTCAGCTCTCGCTTGGCCTTTTCTATATTTTGCGGCTGTACAAAGGTAAGGCTTGGTGATTTATAGAACTTTGCATCTGAATAATTAACTTCTTCACCACCAAATAGATCAACATCTGCAGAGACCCTTTTGACTTCCCATTTAATAAGAACTTAAAACACTGATGTAATGTAGAAGGAACAATGACATATGTGTGGAGCCATGGGCGCCCCAATTGTAACAACCCGGTCTTTAATTAATATTTAATTATTAATTTATTCAAATAAAAGACTATTATACCCTTAGAATATTTTAATGATTTAAAAGTTGACTTTTTGACTAGGAAGGAATTTAGGGATTTCAGTTATACCATTGTGTAGAGCGCAGCAAGATGAGTCCTTAGACAAGTAGTGGGCTCAAATCGGAGTTGTAACGAAGGAGTTACGATCAAAAGAAGTTCAGTGGCATAACCGTAAATATTTCAAACTTCAGTTTATATAAACCCAGAAATTTCTGGATTCGGGGGACAACTAGCCGACTTTGAGAGCTATTTTCTCTCAGCTCCGACCTCCGATTCAGGCAAGACCAGTGCCAAATGAACCACGAAACTTCCTTCTTCCAGTCCCAGCCTTTCGCAGCCTCGATCTGCCGTCATAGTCGCCGGAAACAACCACGAAATAGGCGGTGCTGGACAGTTTTTGACAGAACTTCCAACCTTTCGTTCTCCGTCGTCCGGCCACCAAATCGGACGAGTGAGGTATGGTTTTCTAGCTATTTTTC